GGTCTGCAAATTGAGCTTGGTCTGCAAATTGAGCTTGGTCTGCAAACTGAGCCTGGTCTGCAACTTGAGCTTGGTCTGCAACTTGAGCATCGCCGCCACCGCTGCCAAGGACCTCATCGACATTCTCTTCTTCAACAGCATTAGCAAGAGGCAGAGCGAGAGCGGGCAGTCCACCATCATTCAAAACCTCTTCTTCCGCTTCCGCCTCACCCTCGTCGTCGTCATAGTTGTCGATGTCGATTAGAAATTGGTCGAAATCGACATTTCCGCCAACAGCAATAGGTGCAGCAAGTGCAGGATCAAGACCCGCAAAAGCATGAGGGGGTGCAGGTGCAGCAAGTGCATCATCGACGGCGCCATCGATAGCAAATGGTGGTAGTGCACCATTATCGACATCGTTCAGCAGCTCCAAACCATCCCGGCCATGCCTCTCTTCGCCATTGCCATTGCCATTTCCATTATCGCGTATCTCATTAAATAAAGCTTCCCAGTCGATTTCATGATCCAGGAAAGGTGCGCCGTTTTGGTTTGGGATATTGAACTGATCCCAGTCGAAAGGGGCGTTGTTGGCGCCGTTGGCGCCAGGAGCAGCAGCAAAAGCAAGTGGTGCGGCGGGATTTTCGGCGGGAAGTCCAGCTGCAGCGGCAAGAGGAGGAGCAGCGCCAGCAGCAGCACCATCTGCGTTGAAAAGAGCTGGTGCTAGGCCGGCGGGATTCTCGACGGGGGCTTCAGCTGCAGCAGCAGCGAGAGGAGCAGCAAAAGCAGGAATGTCGATCTCTTCGCCATTTTTGTTGTTGAAGTAAACATTGTCCCAGTTGTAATCCTGCCCAAGGAAGGGCGCGCCGTTTTGATATAGGAGATGGGGGTTCCAAATAAACTGGGCGCCAGAAGCAGCAAGTGGTCCAGCATCGGCGGCGTTGAGTAGAGCTGCTGCTGGGCCGGGACTCTCAGCGGGGAATCCAGCAGCAGGAGGCAGACCGAGAGCGGGAGCGGGTAAGATACCATCGATCAAAGGGATCTCTTCTTGCTCGTCGTTATTGTCGTTAGCGTGGATGTCGATTGGAAGCGGATTGGCATTGGCATTGGCATTGGCGTTTCCGTATCCGTTTCCAGCAGCAATAGGTGCAGCAGGTGCGTGAGCAAGAGCATGAGCAGGTGCAGATCCAGGAGCAGGATCGACGGCGCCATCGACGGCAACTGCACCGTCACCCATACCGATGCCGACACCGACACCGACACCGTTCAGCAGCTCCAACTCATCAAAGCCATGCATTTCAGCGAACGCAGCGTTCCAGTTATTATCCTGCCTAAAGAAGGGCACAGCATCGTTGCCGAGGCCGTTTTGGTTTTGGTTTGGAGGGTTGAAGTTCCAAACATTAGCAAGTGGTGCAGCATTGGCGGCGCCGAACATGAATGTTGCTGGGCCGGCGGGAAGTCCAGCAGGCAGTCCAGCAGCAAGAACAGCAGGAGTAGGCGTACGAGCGTCGGCCATAGGAGTGTTAATCTCCACGCTGTTGCCTTTGTTGAAGTGAGCAGCATTCCCGTTGTAATCCTGTGCAAAGAGTGCAGCATCGTCGCCGTTTTGGTTTGGGGGATTGGCATCCCGACCAGCAGCGAGTGGTGCGGCATTAGCGGCGTTGAGAAGAGCTGCTGCTGGGACAGCTGGGACTTCAGCAGCAGGAATCGCAGCAGGAGCTGGAGCAGGCGTGGCTGGGGCAGGCGTGGCAGGGGCAGGAGTGGGTGTAGCAGCGTCGGCCATGGGACTGTTGGTCTCTTCGCTATTGTCGTCGTTGTTATCGAGATCTAAGAGAGAAGTGTATATTAATATGATGTTTTTTTTTTTCCCCATGACTATGAATTTTTTGCATAGCCATAACCGTTTTCTGTCCAATTTGATAACGCTTCAAAGAGAAAAGAACAGGAGGAGGGATGTGAACATGATAGATGTAAAGTAATAAGCGCAGGACTTACCGTCTCTCATCATCGACTCCCGGTTCCGATTCAACCTTAAGCTCGATCTCAAGCCCTGCCTCTGCCTCTGCTTCTGCCTCTGCCTCTGCCTCTGCCCTTGTCTTTGCTTCTGCCTCTGACCCAAACCCTGCCTTTGCCTCTGGTTCAGGCTCAGACCCTGATCCTGCTCTTCATCCAAATCCATTTCATCTTCGTCCTCCTCTTCCTCCTCCTCTTTCATACACTCCTCCTTCACACCCCCTCCCCCCCTCTTCTCCATCCCCTCATACGCTTTCGTCCTGATCCCCCTCAACTTGTTTTTCAACTTGGGATCTAGAACGTCCACAATCAATACCCCTTGACCATTCCTCCTCCTATCTTCCGGATCTAAACCCAGACTGCGATACAAGGGGCTGATGTCCAGTTGTTTGAGAGAGATATCAAGGGTGCGAGGGTGTGTGCCGAAGTGTACAAATGTTCGAGTTTGGGCAGGCGTCCAGCGGAAAACGGTGCGTGATGTTAAGCTGGAGATGGAGTGCCCGAGGATTTCGGTCTGTGAGAGGAGGGGAAGTTAATAAGGGGTTAAGAGGTGGCGGCGTTGCTTGGGTTGGATGTAGGGGGGAGGAGGAAGAGGGGAGGAGAGGAAGTGAGTAGGAAGATACGCACCGAGACAGGCTGGTTTTTCTTGAGCTGCCTAGACATCATGATGTTGAAGTGACTTCAATACGGGCAAGGGGTCTGTTGAAATATGTCTGGATTGAAAGACCGAAAGTAAATCGAAGCAGTGATGATTAGATATGATGAATTGGGTGAGTGAGACGGGTCTCGGAGAGACGTAGAATATGAGAGTCGAAAAAAGTCCAATAAGAAGATCTTTGCAAACAGGATCCTTTTTAGGAAGCCTGAATGAGAAAGGAACGGATAAATGTAGCGATACTTTGAAGAGAAGATGCTATGTTATTGAAACGGATAGGATGTAAATGTTCGAGAGGTGTATTCCGTTTTTATTGGCCGTTAAATACGTAAAAAAGAATCGTTTTAAGAATCACATCTTGAAATTCATACGTCGAAATTGAAATTCGCCGCGAGAAGACTGACTTGAGCGAGGTGACTGGTATGATTCAAATGACGAGAATGATTCAAGTGGTTCGCGAGATCCTATAGCTAGATTGTAAGACATATTCGGGAAAGTGCTTCTCCTTGACAGCGAGCGAAACGAACGAGACGTGAGCTCGGAGAATCTGGCCATCTTGATGGCATATTTATAAAAGTCTCGGAAGAGGACATGTTGCGAAGAAGGAGATGGCTTGAAGGGACTGAACTAGCGAACTGGCTGGATGACTAGTGCTTGTATGAAACAGTGTAGACGGGACTGACGAGGAGAAAGATGGAATCGATTAAATAAAAACAGACGGAGGAACTCGAGAGACTGAGGGGAGCGCACGCACACCGTTTACATTCTCGCGTAGACAAGCGCTCGAAGACAAAGGCTCTTGTATCTACATCTAAGAGAAATAATGTTCAGCAAAACAATTTCTAGTCAATCTCAGATGATAGAATCAAAAGGGATACGTGCGATGCGTTAGAATTTAAGTGGTGTCGCTCTCTCTCAGAAAAAAACTTAACCCCGGATCGCATGTCACGATTACTTGCATGAACTAGTGGGGCATCGAATTGCCCACCCCAAGACCGCAACGCAGCATGAACTTGCAGCAAAATAGTGGACGAACATGCTCGCCATGATGGCACGGATATTGAGACCTTGGCGGATGTAGACAGGAAGTGGGACTTTGTCTTGAGCCGCAGCAGTGACAGCTGCAAGTGGATATCCCGTTTGCTTGGAGGGAACTCCTCAGCGTAGGCGTTTGCGTTTCCGTTTGCGTTTGCCCGTTTGAAGATAAACGGGCATGCTGAAATCCCAATCCAGCTTAGCAGAGATAAATCTATAATCGGAATCAAAATTGCAAAAACATAACGCTTCATGTGAAAACTGAAGAAGTGGATATAAATGCCATGTTATTTCAGAGGAACTTGACGAACTACTCACTACGGACGAACCAGCGCAGCCAAGCGCAAACGGCAGCAAAGCAAACGAACATCCTACATCTACGCCGCGCGAACCTGTCCATGCCGACAACTCCTTCTTGTGCCGTTGTGGGAGAATCGCGGAGTATCGCATGCATTGACTCGGAAGTTCGAGGCGCCGTCAATGTCAACAAACGGAGTTTTAAGCGAGGTATGTTCTGAGCCAGTCGCTGTGCTTGCGGCCTGAGGCTCCGGAGCATAAGCAAACGAATATAGCAAACGAAAGTACCAGGGTACGCGAAAAGGTGATTAATTAAATCAACTGAGCTTGGGAATTCAATCTATAATTTTCGAGGTGTGTTCTGTGAAGCAAAGCATAAGATGGATGAACTAATAACGAGGTGAGGTTCTCCGCCACAAAGTGTCTGTTGCATAGTGCTCCATGCGCAGAGAAGTGTACCTACATTAAAGTTTGTCTCCGCTCTATGCTTGCAAGGGGTCCATTTTTCTGCTTGTCATTGTGCCGTGGTCAGCATTGGTGGAGACGGTGACATACCCGCTTGTTCGGTGCCCCCTACTCTGCACATTCTCCCCTTCTTACTACGTATATCCACATCAGCATCAACAAATCAACAAACTCAACGCCATACACAAAACATATCCTAATAATACACCGTCGAGCGTTGAAAGTATTCACACACTCCGATTTAGCTTTGTTAACTGTGCTCTGGGTGCAAATCTGATAAAGCTGCATCGTCCTTTTTCCAAGCGCAATGGAAGCTGCGCAGGATCATGATTTTTGATGGGGTAGAAGGGACGGGAGACGGGTCGAGATCCTGTAGACACATAGTACGTAGTAGCACTACATCCCAGGCGTAATTGTTACCCCTTGAGGTCGGGGCAACCAGGGGATCTAAAGTGGAAACCAAACTTTTGAGTCACCCTCAAGGGTGTAACAATTACGCCCGCACCGTGGTACCTGGTCCATACCGGCGGCTCGGTACGGTAAAGTAACGGTGTGCACGGTGCGGATCGCTCGCGTGCTTTGCCTTGCTTTCAACTGGTATTCGTCCGATTAGCCCTTCTCTAGTATACTATCCCTGACCCACCTTTCTTGTAGTAGTCGGTACCAGAAGCTGGGAAAGAATATGGGTATTCACATCTTGCCTTTGCATCACGGTTGTTATCTTATATATCCGATTCCAACGGCGACTTTGACCCTGATCCCGAACCGACTGATCTTAATCGCAATTTATCCTTTTCATCTGCTCCTCGATGCATGCTTCATCTGTTCAATGTCGTTTCGCGGCGGCGGCGGCGGCGGAAAGAAGGTGGAAGGACGAAGAAAGAGAGAACTATGTAAATAGGAAAGAGACCATGTGGTAAGGAAATCTTTCCTTTCAATCTGCTCCCTGATGCATGCTCTTTTGTACCACTGTCTACTACCATAGCTGACCTCGGTCCGGCCTCGATACCGGTCGTCCTGCGACTCTGATAAAAGCTACGCTTTTAAGCTAGGTATAGCAGTCTCTGCCTTGCTTCTTTGTTTCTTCTTATCCTCGGAGAGAGCTTCCTCTTATTATGATCCTGAAGCTGTCTTGTATGTAAACCCTTAGCTTAGCACGTCGCCGTACCCCATGAGAGGTCTCAAGGCGCTATCCGCCCGACGTCGATAAATACAACAATAACAACAACAACCTTGGTGGATGCTTCATCCTCTTCTATTCAATATCGTTACGCAGCGGCGGCGGAAAAAAAAAGGCTAGGGGAATAGAAAAGAGACTATGTAAAAAGGAAATCTATCCGTTTAATCTGCTCCTTGATGCATGCTTCATCCTCCTCTGTTCTATGTCGTTTCGTAGCGGCGGAAGTAGTGAGGGTGGAGGGACGAAGAAAGAAAAGGCCGGCGGCTTAGAAAAGAGACCATGTGTAAAGGAAATGGAAAACACCGTCTAAGGTCGTTTCGTAGTGGCGGAGGAAGAAATAGAAAGACTAAGAAGGAAAAAGCTAGGTGAACGGAGAAGAGTCCATGTTGTGATGATTATAATAACATTAGTATCTTATACACACAGACTCCGACCTCGAGTCCGCCCGATCCCAATCCTAATCTTTCCTTTTAATTTGCTCCTCGATGCATATTTTATCGTCTATGCAATATTGTTTCCCGGCGGCGGCGGCGGCAGCGGCAGAAAAAAAGAAAGGAAGAAGAAGGATAAGGAGGCAGAGGGCTAGGTGAATAGAGAAGAGAACCGTATGGCGAGGAAATCTATCCTTTTAATCTGCTCCTTGACGCATGCTTCATCCTCTGATCAATGTCGTTTCGCCGCGGCGACGACGGCAAGAGAAAAGATAAAGGAACGAAGAAGAACGAGGAATGAGAAGGCTAAGTGAATAGAGAAGAGACAATGTAAGGAACAAATAAAAAAAGACTGTCCAAGGTCGTTTCGTAGCGGCGGCGAGAAAAGGTAAAGTAATAAGGAAAGAGAAGCCCGGGTAAATGGAAGAGAGACTATGTTATCATAACAAAAACACTATTATAATTTCATGTCAGACTTCGACGCCGACTTCGGTCTTAAGCCCGCCCGATTCTAATCTCAATCTTAATCTTTATTTTCAATCTGTTTCCAAATGCAAACTTCATTTTCCGTTCAATGCCGTTTCGCTGCGGCGGCGGTGGCAGCGACGAAAGGAGAGAAATTGAAAAGACGAGGAAGGAGAAGGCTAGGCGAATAGAAAAGGGACCATTTGATGAAAACATGGAAAAAGGCTATTCAATGTCGTTTCGCGGCGGCGGCGGCAGAAGGAGAAAAATTGAAAAGACGAAGAAGGAGAAGTCTGGGCGAATAGAAATGGGACTATGTGGTAAGGACATAGAAAAAGACTATTCAAGGTCTTCTCGCACGGCGGCAGCAGAAGGAGAAAAGATAAAAGGACGAAGAAGGAGAAGGCTGGGCGAATAGACAAGAGACTTTGTGGTGATGATTGGAATACTATTCTTATCTTGAACATCCGATTCCGACGCCGACTTCGATCCTAAGCCCGCCAGATTCCAATCCAAATCTCAATCTTTTCTTTTAATTTGCTCCCTGATGCAATCTTCATTTTTTGTCTAATATTGTTTCGCGGCGGCGGCGACAGGAGAGAAGGTGGAGGGACGAGGAAGGTGGAGGGACGAGGAAGAAGAGGGCTGAGTAAATAGAGAAGTGAACCATAGGTAAAGAGATAGAGAAAGATAGTATTCCAATCGTATCATATTCGTATCATACCTCTGACCTTGACCTGACCTTGACCTTGAGCACGACCTAGACCCGGACTCCGACCCGACCTTGATCCTGATCCTGATCTTAAGCCCGAGCTCAAGCCATCCGTGTAGTCCGCGATCTCTTGTTGCTATTGCATGATAGTGACAAGAGGAATCAGAACGAGCGATGGATTTCTAGTAGGCCAGTCGGACATGATGAACGAGACGGCTTGGATTGTCTTGCCCATATTCATCTTATCGCCAAGCAGACCTCCTCCCCATTTTATTCTTCAATTCTAATTCTCATCCCTACCCTTGCGTCGATCCAGTCCCCGGCACACTCGCCGATGCAAGTCTCATACCCCGTTCCACTTCGTCTAGCCTCCGACACCACTCGTCAAATTCCTCCGTCGCGCGGTCGACGTGCGACAAGTCATTTTCAACAGACGCACGTACGGCACTGCGACGGCGACGGGAGAAAGGCTGGCGAGAGGAGGAAGAACCGGAAGAAGAAGAGGAGGGTTGGCTGGTTGGAGACGAGAACCAGCTGCCGAAGAAGCTGCTGGACGAAGGAGAAGATGATGTTGATATTGACGTCGATGAAGGTGGGGATAGGGACGGTGATGGTGATGGTGGAGGGTTGGCTGCATCGGTGGATAAGTGTTGGCATATTATATCTTTAGAAAGGATGGGATGTAGAAAGACGAGATGTAGGAATTCAACGGAAGGAAGACCTGGGATGTAGGGAGCCCATGAAAATGAAAAGCCAAAACTCACGACCCATTCCTATTGCCCGTTCCATAGCCATTCCTAGCCCCAGTCCCGAACTCGAACTCGAACTCGAACTCGAACCCAGACCTAACCCCTTCCCCTTCCTTTTCGCTAACCCTTCCTCGACCCTCTCTACCGCGCCCATCACCTCTCTCCAAAACCCTTCTGTCCTCCGCCGCACGTCTTCTATCCGACCCCGGATGCCACCCACCAGGGCCACGGCGCTCCTCACGATCTCTCGTGTCGCGAGCCGCGCATCCTGCAGACTCTGCAGCTGTACGCGAATCTCGGCCGTGATGTCCTGTTCTTGAAAGCGCAGCAGCGCATCGCCTAGCGCGATGTTTGTGTCGCTCAAGGACTTTCGGCGGGATTCGAGGAGAGGCGTGAGCGTGGTGAGTTCAGACCGGGTGGTGGCAAGACGGGATTGGGTGGTGGTGAGTTCGGATTCGGTGGAAGTGAGCTGGGACT